AAAATTTCACGAATTTAATTAAAAAAAAAAACAAATAACCCTTGTCAAGGTTTTGGACGCAATCAATAGTAATCCGTATTTTCCCAAAAATGGGAAAGACAAAACTACGGGAAACTCTAATAGATTTGAAGTTTAAGTGGGATAAACAAGGCAGGAAAGCAGCACTTATTGATTCTGATGAAATTGTTTGTTGCAGATGGAAATACCGCAGAACAATTTTTAAATTACGTGCATGAGGCAAAAAATTATTTTATTTGGGTGAATGAAGGTTACACAGTTAACAAAATGTGGCAGGACACAAACATTCAATCTCCACGACAGACTTTTTTGAAAGGATTATCTACATGATTAAAGGTTCCTTCCGGTAAAGGACGACGTCTAATTATAGCTCATATTGGAAGTGATGTCAAGTTTTCAAAACGTAGTTCTTTAATATTTCAATATAAAAAAACTGGAGACTACCATGAAGATATGAACGCTTTTTTTTTGAAGAATATTTTTAGCAGATGATAGAACATTTACCAAAGGGTTCAGTTATAGTAATGGATAACGCTAGTTACTATTCTCATCTATTTAGACGTGTGCCAAATATTTCATGGAATAAAAATGATATCATTAAGTGGCTAATAGACAGAAACATTAACATTCCAGATAAATCAATAAAAATAGAACTACTAGAAATTGTGAAATGAAATAGGCTTACAGTACGTTATGTAGTGGAAGAACTTGCAAAAACACATGGCACTGATGTTGTGCGTCTTCCTCCTTATCACTGCAAACTAAAACCTATTGAACTGATATGGGCTGTAACGTTATAAATAACGTTTCAGTTTTATTTTCGTAATACTACCTACATTTAATAATTATACCCTCCTTGTGCGAATATCTCGTTTGTGTTTCAACCACCCCACCCGTCCTTCATAAAAATCAATGAATTGGCTTTTGCGTATGATCGGACAATGCAATTTACCTCGTCCTTCTCATGGTTGACTTCAAAATATCAACTTCTTTGTTTTTGTAAATGCTTGCTAGATGACTAAAGGTAATTATTTAATATATTTGGTTGTTTAGAACTGCATTATCAGTGATTACAGGTTCAACATTTCGTTTGTAGATTATTACTTGAGTTCCACGAATTATTTTGGGTTGATTAACGTTAAAATGCTCTTTCGTTTTTATACTGCATGACATTAAAAGTGGCCATTTTAGTTTTTTTATATATCTAGATTTTGTTCTTTTCCATCTTTTAACAAGGTAACTGAATACTGTTGCAAATCTAATCAATATCTGCAATTTTAATAATTGTTGTATATTAAAAGTACTTATTTTGTACTTTCTTTTATGTAACACATGTTAAAGAGATGGAAAGGTTTTTTTTTATTATTGACTGACACCGTATTTTGTTTTATTTATTCTAAAGAGGAGAGGTGACCGGCCTATATTTAAAAAGGAGAGCGGCAAATACATAAAGAGTAAAGCGGGTACAAAAAGAAGTGAGCGGTCTATATAAAAAGTAGTATCATCTTAGCAATTAAGCCGTGCAAAAAGGGATACCCGCCTGGAGAAGGTGGATACTAGCCAGCCTGTATTAAGAGAAAGTCACCAGGGAAAACATAATAGAAGTATCTTTTCATTAACGGCAGAGTGAAGGCCATAACTCCTCGACCGTCAATCTAAGTTAGCTAAGTGTCGGCCAGTAATCCGAACATTTGTTTTGCCAAAGAAAATCGTTAAAATCACTATCTTTTAATTAAATGAGATTTAAAGTTAACCATTTGTTGTTTTGATATAGCTCTCTTTCATTGAAAAATTGTTAAGTGTCTGGTGTTAAAATTAAAGTCACTATATTTTAATTTCACTCTTTGAATGTATTCCTTACTTTTAACTAGCAAATTAATGGCATAATTTATATTTATTAACCATGTAAATACATGGCGTCCTTAACCTTATTTTATAACACTTTTTTTGTGTTTTTAATTAAAGATGATGCCATTGGTTTGTTAGAAAATTCTAAGCTCGAACTCCATGATCCTGACATGAGCTTGTCCGAGGGTCTAATGAAATTAAAGTTACTACGTCAAATTATAACGTTACAGGGCACAAGGTAAAGGATATGTAGGTCGACATAATATGACATTTAAGTTAAAAGATGTAGGAGCATTGTTAGAAACCTCCATATTACGTGTTACGAAGAAAAATTGGCAAACGGCAATCTAGCAAGTCTTAAAAGAAGACAAAAAACATGTGAAATCTGGAAAAAAATCTTGGATATCGATACTACAGCGCCACCTTTAATAATATCAGTAAATATTGACTAATCAAGTGATTATAGTGATTCAGAGACTTTCACGTTTCCTGATCTTCGAGAGTAGGTAAACATATCTAATTAATATCTAAATATTATAATCATATTAGTAAAAAAGGAGTAGAATCTGGGGCGCGGCGTTGAGACCACACAATTAACTGCAAGACTGAAAAAACGCAAGCAAAATCGGAGTATGTCAAAAATGTGGTGAAAATATTAAATTTACCAAGTTCTTGATATATTACGGCCAAAAGAAATTTCTTTTTTTAGAGGTGAGTGGTTAGTGGTAAGTTTTCACGAGTTGCATACAATATTTTTTTTACGTTCATGCAAAAACCAAAAAATGTTTTATTTAGGCGACACTAAGTGCAGAAGAATGAAAAGCGTAATTTAATAGCAAAATATTTAATAACTTATAATTAGCATCGATTAACATTGAAAAAGTATTATAACTATGTTAAGAAAAATAATTAAACCAAAACTTTAGGAACACTTGTGGTATGAACAATAATTAAGCGTAAACGTTGTTTTTGCGTAATACAATTTCACAGAAAATGAAAATGTACTAAATATTTGCTGTCAATTTGAATATTTATGTTTGTCATGATCATAAAACGCTGTAGTAAAATGACAGATGAGTGTAATACAATTTTTATTGCACTAGGCAATAGAGAACCAGTTTTTTCACTAAATATAGTTCAGTAAACTTTTGTTTTTTGCATGAATGTAAAAAAAAATATTTAAGTTTTAAATATTAACAAAAAAGTAATAACAAAAAACGAATATCCCCTAATTTACCCACCCGTGCGCTCATCAGAGTCCTAAAAGGGATTAAAGTAAGGGTAGTCCATTGTTACGCTCTACAAAAAACCGGGCGGCGCAGGTGAAATTCTTAAAATCACCATACCTTATAACTGCCGGCTGTTTAAAATCACAGATTTTGTTTGAGCCACCTGTGTTGTAAATCTTCCATAAAATTTTGATTTATTACTCCGTGTCAATTGCGATTTTACTATAGTTAATTCTTACAAGGTCGGCCCTACGTCGAGAAAACGTTTAACCTAACTAAAGTAGTCCCTTAAACGTTTATATAACGTTATTTCCATTCCCAAAATATTTACTACTTGGTTAAGTAAATGTTGTAACAACGTCCTCATTTAACTAAAGACATGCTCAACGATAAAACGTCGTTGTCCGCTGGTTTAGTGTGCTTTGTTTCATAAATGACTATTTTCTGCAAGTTACAACGTTAATTTTGATGTATTATGTGATTATCGTCGCCAAAATGCAATTATACCAACCCTATATATACTAAAAGGGTTCTTCCCAAATGGGGTTGGAAAAAAAATCAAAATTTAGAATAATGTTCCTAAAATTGAAATGCAGGTGTCCAGAGAGGATTTTAAAAATAAAACCCAGGTATTTGTATTATTTATGTGACAACAAAACGGTAAAATTAATAATTTACAGATGATAATGAATAGTTACAAAGTTGATTGGCAATAAAATTCACAATGTTTTTATGTTAGTTATAAATATGTAAATGTGCGTGTACAAATTATAACAATGGAATAAAGTAAATATAATATCGAATCAAATAGGTAATGTTGAAAATAAATTTCCAAACTAAAAAAGTAAACATTGACAAGTCGATAAAGGGTCGTTGAGTTGACATCAGAGATTAAAGTATTACATAATAATATATTTTACATTAATATATCAACGTTTATAATATGATTTTAAATTTTGATTTGGTTTATTGATAGTCCAAGACCTGATGACAATTTTGCAGAATTACTTGCACCATTATAGGAACGACTGGAAACTCGGAAAAATCGCTCGGAAATCGTTAATTGGGGGTTCCCGGAGCTGCCGAACTCGATTCTGGCATTAAAATTACCCGGGGGTGCACGGGGGTGGCTCTGTGGGGGTGCGCGGGGGGTAAATTGGGTAAAATTGTCAGCGTGCATGAAAATCGTTTGAAACTCGTTACGCGGGGGTATTCGGGGATACCGAATTTTATTCTGGCATAGGAATTACCCGGGGGCGCTCAGGGGTGGCTCAGCGGGGGTATCCGGGGGGTCATTCTGAGGAAGAAATTGCATAGTCCATCGGAGGCGCTCCAAACTTGTTAATCGTGTGTTTTCAGGGATGCTTAATTCAATTATGGCATTAGACTTTCCCGGGGGCGCTCGGGGGTACCTCTGTGGGGTTGTCTGGAGGTGATTGGGGAGAAAATGGCAGCGTCCATGAAAATCGCTTCAAAATCGTTACTCAAGGGTTTTCGGGGATGCCGAATTCAATTCTGGCATTAGAATTACCTGGAGGTATGAATAATAAAAAGTTTGATTGAATAATAAATAAATAAAAAAATATTACACATATAAAACCAAAGGGAAAGTAAAATTCTGCGATTTGTTTGAGAAATCCGATGATTTACATGGGTAAGCAGAAATATTTAAGCAAACACATGTATCCATGGATAATTTAATAGAATATGGGCTTAGTCTAGCTTTGGCTCTTTACGGGGCATCCAAAGATGTGCGCAAAAGCGATAAACCTGCGATTGAAGTCGTCCAAAGATATCGAGCAAAAATATAGGGTGAAGCCACCAATTTTAAAAAAGTCGATCTTGCACGCAAAATCCCGACTGCCAATGCATTAACGGAGCATATCAAGCGCGTATATTTCCAAGTACTTGGTATGATTCACAAGGTCAAGACGAGACCTTAGATCCATTGGAATGGGAGTGGGAATTGGTGGCTGGAGAGCTCAATCGTGTCACCATGACCCAGAAAGCCGGTCCCGAGGAAATTTTAAACAAAATTTCTTGTTCTTGTGAAACCGACTGTGGCACGAGGCGCAGGTGCCGCCGAAGTGGGTTGGAGTGCTCACTTGCATGCAAGCATTGCGATGGCAATTGTTCAAACCAAAAAGGCACTTTCAACGGGGTTGGGAATAGTGTCGAGGAAGAAGATGAAAAAGGAGAAGAAGATGATGAAGGGGAAGAAGATGAAGAAGGGGAAGATGAAGAGGAGTTCGAACAAGATGTTTAGTATTAAAGTTACAAATTTAAGCTTATAATGAATAATTCAACATTAATAAAAACTCCTATTTGTTATTTGAATAAAGTATTATTTTTATAATTTGTGATTTTTCAGTTTCTCCTTTAACATTTTCCACAGAGCTACCTTCGAGCGCCCCTGGGGAAGTCTAATGCCAGAATTGAATTCGGCATCCCCAAAAATCCTCGAGTAACGATTTTGGAGTGATTTTCATGGACGCTGCCATTTCCTTTTCAATCACCCACAGACAACCTCACAGAGCCATTCCCGAGCGCCTCAGGGGAAATCTAATGCTAAAATTGAATTCGGAATCCTAGAGCGCTTCCGATGGACTATGCAATTTTCCTCCAGATACATACGCAGAGCCGCCCCCGGGCGCTTTTGGGTAATTCCAATGCCAGCACTGAATTCGGCATCCCCTCGAGCAACGATTTATGAGTGATTTTCATGGATGCTGCCATTTACCCTCCCCCCCCCCCCCCCCCTATCACTCCCAGACAACCCTATAGAGCCACCCCCGAGCGTCCCCTGGTAATTCTAATGCCAGAATCGACTTCGGCAGCCCCAAAAACCCCCCGAGTAACGATTTACAAGCGATTTTTTCGAGTTTACAGTCGTTTCTATAATGTAAGTAAGTAATGATGCAATTCGAAAATTTCCGGCCCAGAAGGCATTTGTCAAAAAATAGCTGAACCGGACAATATAGACCTTTTTCCTGGGACCTTCGTGAACACAATGCAAAAAACCGCATCTCGATATCTGCTGTCCCTAAAAATTTCCGCTATTTTTCCTAACTTTCCTGGACTATACTATGTAAAATTTACTTTTAACATGATATGTCATATGCTATTACTTAGGAGATTATATAGAAATTTTGTCAGCGGGTATAATGCATATCATCGATTACAAGAAATCCCTACACTTATGATATATGGTCTCTCGAATAAGACGCTAGTTCGAAAAGTTTTTAAGCAAGTTTTGAGCTGAAATCTTATTTACGATCCACAACAACAACTGAACTCGACAACCGCAGACAAACAACGGCAAAGCGTCGACACAATACGAGGCACGATGACAAAGTAATTATATTGATTCTCAGTATTTTCATATTTAAACGATTACATTTTATTTAATAAAATGCGTTATTTAGAGTATCTTATAAATATTAGGAAATACTACTGGAGCCTTTTACAAAAACTTACATCTCTAGGCAGTGATTTAAAAGTCTCTTCCAGCCCTCTGCTTCGCCGAAAATCTAATCTTATTTAGACATATGACAGTTCTTGTTACGGTTTACAATATCAATAAAACTGTAGTAAAAAGTACTTTCGAATGTTTAAATGGAACGATGATAGAAGAGAGATAAAAAAGAGGAGCTCATCAGTTACAAATTTTGGATGAGTGATTGCATGCACATTGGGTATGAGGCAAGTGATTAACCACCCAGGATGCATCGAATATTTTAAATGAAAAATGATTTTTGATTTATGATCGTACGATGGAAATATTTTCGTCAGATATTTTCCATTGTTTTCCCAAATATTGTGTTCTTTTTTATCGATTTCCTCACGTAAATTGCCTTTCTGTGTTTTTAAAATTGTTTCACATAAATTACTTTTAGGAATTAGCTGCCAATGGGGGGGTTTAAAGTAAAGAGACCATTACTTACCATTAGTGTTATAATGGTAACCACAGAAAAAGGTAAGTCCGATTGCGCCACCTCTAATAGGGTTCTCCAATGTACTCATAATAGGCCCTTGGAGATGAATAGGGATATAGCAGGGAGGTTTGAAGGGTGAAAAGAAAAACAAGGTTAGGACCTGTCATACTGCTGGTATATCTTTACAGATCTATTCCAATGCTATGTAAACGATATGAAAAAATAAATGTTAATGTATGTATCTTCAACCTCCTTTCCCCATCTGTCTTTTGGTGGTCCTGTTCTTTTTTTTCCTAGTTTACTAAGTATTTTTCTCTATATCCTATTCTTTGACAACCTCAAAATATGTTCCATCCATCATATTCTCTGCACTTTGATGGCCCACGTTATGTTTGAGTCCTTATTTAGTTCACTAATACTCTTACTTGGATTTCGGGACATAAGAGGGTACATAGTAACGAGATTACGGATAGTCTCGCAAGGAAAGGGACTCAAACACCCTTTGTGGGACCTGAGCCGTTCTGCGGTATCAACAGTAAGACAATATTAGGAGAGATTAAAAAAGAATTGGGCAGTAGAAGAACCGATAATTGGAACAATCTCTTGGGGCTTAAACAAGATACTTCTAGGTGAATATGAGCAGAAAAAATTGGAAGCCTATATCTGGCTCAGCAAGAATAGATTACGCATTGTAACAGGGATCCGTACTGGGCATTGCCGATACAAAAAACATCTCATTTACTTTGTTTAATGGCAAAGCATAGTTAATTATAACAATTGTTATTTTATATTCGGACTTGTTCTCTCTATCTCCTCGAAGACTAATAATATCTACATCTTCTGGTTTCTAGCTCTCTAGGCAAGAAATCTGTGTGTGAACTCCAAACTGGTTCCTCTTCACAAATGCCGGTATCGAGTTTATCACCTTACAAATAGAAATTTGACTTACTCATAGTTTACCATGTGGTATTTGTTTAAAACTTTCGCTGCCCAAGTTTTAATCAACTACACGTTCTGGCCCGTCTGTATATAATGACATATAAAACTATATATGTCATTGGTCTGTATATGAACATTTAGAAGTTTGGACGTTTATTAACGTCATTGGCCATACACAATCGAAATATAATTTTTTTTGTGTTGAATAATAGCTGTTATGTATACAGAGTGGTTATAAATTGGGAGAAAAGTTAACTCAAAAAGAGAAAAGAATATAGACCTCTACAGAATGTCAAGTACTGATGTCAAAAAAGTATATTATCGAGCCGCTTGCTGACGATGTACATATATATTTATTTATCGATCACCATAGTCAAAAACTTCTTGGATGGGTGACTCGAGACTACAAGTTGTCGGGAGCCCATCTCGAAAGTGGAATGACTGAATTGGAAGCAGTAGGGTATCCAAATGGTGGTACAAAAAGCCAGTGAAGCTGTATTTTCACTATGCTGAAATCCCTACAGGAAGCTGGGCCATTCAAGGCGGGAATTCAGAAACAATCAAGAGTGGTTCAAAAAGATGCCTGAAAGGAAGAAAAACGACGTAAAATCTTCGTCGTTGTTTTATACAGTATGTCCAATTAGTGCGTAATTTCATTTTGTGCTATAGACACGCAAACATGTTTTGAATGAAAGTTATGTGGATTTGAAAATATGTTAAGATATACAAGGTGTTACGCTTTTGCCTGGAAAAAATATGTTTTTAAATGTATTTTATTTTAGTTTTAGAGTGGCGTTATAATACTGTATTAAACCCTAGAATATTAAATATATATATATATATATATATATATATATATATATATATATATATATATATATATATATGAACTTGAGTTATTGGGTTTGCAGCAAAACGATATGTGTACTCTTATAAGTTTATTCCAAGCTTTCGAATGTGAATACATTCATCTTCAGGGATCTAGAATATTTATTACAGGAAAATTAAAATTGAATAATGAACAATTAATGTTTACTTACTACTTAGTGAGATTGGTTCGTGAAAAAATTTTGTTGATAAAATTAATGATGTGATTGAAACTGTACTAGATAAACATTGACATGAACATTTTAGACGATGCATTGAAAATTTTTAAAACATTTTAAAATTATATACACTTTTTGCAACTAACTAGTTTAGTCGAAAATTAATAAAATTTTTGAGGTTACAATTGACCATGTGCTCTTTTCAAGTTCATGGCGCATGCGTCTGTCATTAAGTCAATTTGCCAAAAAAGAAGAAGAATTTACTTTAACTGTGTAAGACTAATGAGGTCCTACAGCCAATTATTTCAAAACAGAAGGGGGTTGCATAAAGCTAATGAGACTTTATTACCAAACTACCCTTTCTTAATGGGAGGCGCACGTGTCATATACAATAGAACTGAACGACGGGTTGCTAAAAATTTATTTTATAACTATTGATTTATGAATAAAAGTATATGAAACATAGTTAAAGATTTTGTTAATGACGACAAACATGTCTGTTTCCTAAATCCCTTATTGGTAAGTTCAATGAGTGGTCGGTTAATGGGGCCTACCACGTATTGAGACTTGTAGAGGGGGCAGTGGGGGGTTAATGAGACTCCCCATCTACAACCTCTGATTAGGAAAGAGACATACTTATCGTGCATTATGGTGGTTAGGTTGAATGTTATTGCAAATTAAATGTTATCAAATACGTTGAAGACTAATTTTGAAATTTGATAAACAGTTTTTCAGAAAAGCAAGCTTTCATAAGTTTTTTGATTAAAAATTTTTAAATTTGGAGTTAGATTTCAGTTAAGTTAAGATTACTATTATTGTCAGTTAAGTTAGTATGTGAAGAAAAATTTTTATCCAAAAATAATAAGTATGCAAAAATTTCACTGAGATGTTTTATATCTGATCTTTTGTTAATACATTCATTTTGAGCAATATGTGCCATTTCTAAGAAAAGTCTTTTGTGTAGACGAGGCTCTTTTTCTAAAACTTTAATATCCTGGAAGTTGAAGGTATGATTATTTGAAATTGCATGATTTGCTAGTGCACAACGTTCTGGGTGTAGTCTGCAGTCGCTCTTGTGGGATGTTATGCGGTCTTTTAATGGTCTTGTAGTTTGACCTATGTATAGTAAATTGCAATCCACACAAGGGATACTGTAGACTACATCAGTCCAAGATAGTATTGGTGTTTTATCTTTAAGTTTTGAGAAAACGCTATTAACAGTGAGAACAGTTTTAGTTGCAAACTTTAAATTTGATATTGAATGAAACAAGTTTATGAGCCTGGGTGTGATATCTCTGATGTATGGTAGAGTGACATATGTGATATTAGTGTCCGGTGGTACATTT